GCTGTTCAGTCGGTGTCAGATTACGAACGAGAACTGTGTATGCAGTCACTGACGCCGATCGAAAAGTGGCTTGTTGAAGTGGTGACCCGTGAGATGGAAATGGTGCTGTGCCGTCATACAGCTGCCAGAACCCCGCGGTCTGAACAAGAAGCTCAAACTCAAAGCTCCAGGTATAAAAATCTTGACCATTAAAAGGCATTGTCGTTTTGATTTTCGTTGGATTTGCAGAAGCAGGAATATAATTTCCGGTACCGTCAGCTGATTGTAGCTGATAGAGTGATGGCACTTGTGACCCTTGTTGTGTTTGTTGTCCTTGTCCAGCAGGACCAAAGGAGAAAGAGTTGTTCGACCCATCACTTCCTTGTGGCATCTGACCACGCTGATAACTGGAGCCATCAATGCTCATCGGAGTTGGAAACATCTGGTTAAGCGACAAGACGGCAGCATTAACTCGTTGTTGAAGATTTGCTGGTTGGTAAGCACCTTGATATTGGTAAGGTCCAGTCGGAACGAAGTTAGACTGTTGTCCCGGTTGACCTGAAGAACCAGGGACTGCAGCTGCAGCTGTTGAGGCTGCTGATGCTGCTGTTGCGGCGGCTGCTGTCGATGATGCCGCTGCTGTAGTTGTGTGTACGGGCTGACTGCTCAATGGCATGCCGTACATCGGTTGTTGCTGATATTGTTGTTGTTGTTGTTGTTGTTGTTGTTGTTGTTGTTGTTGTTGTTGTTGTTGTTGTTGTTGTTGTTGTTGTTGCTGCAGATGTGAATTATCAGCAGCTGGAGACGCTGTTGGGCGTGATGGGCTCGTAACAGAAGAGCCATTGTTGGACCTTGGAGATCCAGACATAGTTGTAGAGTAGGCAGGTGGAAGCTGGTATAATCCTAAGTTGCTCTCATACCATGATAGATTTTAAACTGTCTGAATAGGATCGTAGTCTTAGGATAGTAGCTTTCTGTAGCAGTGGAATTCTTTATATGAGTGACTTGTAACAGGATCAAAAGTCTCTGAAATCAAGTATATTATAAAATGACAAGCATACAGAATATATACTAGGATAAAGTACCTGTTCGCCTACTGTACTGTGCTGTTCTTATCTTGAAACGGTACGTAACTATTCGCGAAACCTACGGCGACTGATGACGTCATCCTAGGGCGCGTAGCGCTTTGCTGACGTCAGCCTATCGGTACTTTTACTGTTCTAACTACACGAATTCCTTGAAGTGCATAAGTCTCGATATTATCTCAACAGAGTTTAGGCAAAAGGAAAAAGGGTTTCACTATGGTTCGGAAGGTACACATAGGCAAGACAAACATGCAATTAGGTACACCACCAAGTTTATAATAACTACACTAACTACAGCTACAGGCAGTTACAAATATATTCTAACACTGGCCTCGTGGCCTTTTGCTTGTGCTCAGACTGCGTGGTGACGTTGTGATCCACCCTGAGCTTGCTTTGCACTTCCTGCCTGGTCTTGTGACCCTCTGTTCTCCCCCACTTTGCCTATGGGGGTGTGTAAAACATATGTTTATATGTTGTAGTTTAGGTAGCCTTTAGTGGGGTACTCACTGTGGGGTACAACCCCTTAGGTTTCACCTTTGTACCAACATTCTCCATAGTCAATACCATCTCTTGCCTAAGATTCTTAACAGAGGCTTCCGATTGGGTTGGGCGGTCGATCAGCTAGGGGAAGTTGCGTTGATCCCTCCCCCTAACACTAGGCTAACCCTCGCCTTTTGCAAGGTGGTAGCCTATCGAACAGGACCTACATGTTTTCAGTTTGGTGTGCACACCACCGGCCAGAGTGGTTGCGCAGGAACCGAGCGACACTTCCATGTGCTGCCTGCGACTTCATCACGTTTTGCAGGTGAACAACTGGTAACCACCCTGGTTCGGGAAGGAGAAGTCTTGACGCCTCCCTTTGTTTTTTGTTTTTTGTTTTTTGTTTTTTTTGGTAATTCAGGCTTCGGGTTTTAACATGGTCATCCATGGAATGGCGTGGAGTAAAGTAATGTAAATATAGTAGTTCCACTTCTGTTAGCTGGTCACATGGCCTATGGATATTATCGAGTATAGTGGTTTTTGCAATTCCTGAAGCGAATCTCAGCGGACCAGAAACAGTCTCCGTCAGCATCCACGCTTCATTACGCCAGTCGATACCTGACAGGTTGAAATGGCCCGTGTTTCCCAAATTTGAGGACAGGCCTTCCTCCTAGCCAAGCTTGCCAGCAGGTGATCTCCTCAGTGCCCTTAATTGAGGGATTTTAGTCTAACAGGAAGGATTACTGTAGATGTATTTCTTTCAAGGGACATTCATCTCAACTTGCGCACACTTTCCGCTGATCCGCTTCTGAGGCGGAAGAATTATTGTGCTAACTCTGAACTCAGCTTCTCCGCACGTCACGCAAGCACTGTTTTCATTGGCTGTCTTCTGTCAGCCAGCACAAAACTAAACCCCTCTCGGGTGGCAAGTTTTCAAAAGCACAACCCTAAACACCCCGCGACAAGATGTTTAGGGTTGATGCCCTTCATCAACATGCTGGCCAATAGGGATCTAGTTTTGGCATCAACCCTAAACACTTAGTCGCAAGGTGTTTAGGGTTGATGTCTATTTTCTTGCCAGCCGAGAGGGATTTAGTTTAGTGCGGATAAACAAACAAAATACTGCTGTGCACCATTTGCCTGAGTAGCAGCAGCAGTGGCTTCCGAGATGATGACACGTGGGTGAATTGGGAGACGAGTTCTGTGTTAGCGCAATAAGTCTTCTGCCTGGGCTGTGAAACTTGGTAAACTGTGTGCAGGTAAAAAAGAAGGTCTCTAGAAAGCGCAGGTTCGGAAGTACCTCTTCCGCCGTAACAAAAACCCTTTAAGTCGACGTGGCGTGACGTTTGTCTGTTTCCAGGTTCTTTGTGCGTGCGCGTCATCCACCCCCAGGAGTGCGGGATGCTGGAATTTGGATTGCTCTGCGTGTATGAGTGGATCGGGCTTCTTTAGTTGACCCGGCTCTGTGCTGGCAACCCCATGAAATTCGCGTGAAGAGTCGATTTGCTTGGTCAGACTCCACACCTGGAAACTATCCAGCATAATCTTTTGTCAGCTGACGTGCAATCTGAGGCCATCTCAATGCACGATGAGACGGGTGTGGTCCCCCCGCTGACGTGGTGACATCGCAACACGTGGTAACTGTGTCGCTGGATGGTCCGTGGCCAAACAACCATTTCATCGCGATTCGTTCCGATCGCTCACGTCTGACTTGTAGAGCGACCCTGGCTTCGTGTGATGTCGCAACGCCACACCATCAGCTCTCCGACCAGCCAAACCATTTCCCCGCCTGACCACCTGCTGGTGCGGCACTTCGCAGTCCTCCGCAGGAACCCCTTAGCGGAACGCTTGCGGACAGTCGCTCCGCACGATGTGCTGGATTTGTGGATAAAGGGCCTGGCGAATGAAAGGAAGAGAAGCAGCCAGCCCGTTTTGAGCGTGTTTCAGAATCCCAAGCCACACAGCCAAGCAAAGATACCTCCACTGTTTGCGCCTCACCACATCTTCCGAATCCACACCGCTACCACTCCGCACCACGCCTTCATTCCCTCTCTCCCCGCATCTCGTCTCCTCTTCCCCTCCATTCAACTCGCCTCCCCTCCTCACCTATCCCCTCCCTTCCTCCCCTCATCTCCTCTCCGCTCGACTGCTCCCCTCCCCCTTGCGTTCCGCCACTGGTTAGCCATACACCTTGTTCTCGATAATTTCACGGCATTGATGCCGAGTCGCGTCTACGTTCCGCGCGGGCGAGGTGTGAAATTAAAGGGGAAAAAAGCCGCGCGGTAATTTCACACGCCAGATTACTGGACTTGGATGCTGACTGTAAAGTGCGAGTGTACAGCGCGCGCCAGCCTGGAAAATGCCCCACTCAAGACATCCTCACTGGAAAATGCCCCACTCAAAAAATTGTTTCATTCTCACATTGCACCAATCACGCTTCATCTTATTTGTGGGAGGAGAAGTTCCTTCCCCTTGCTCAGCTTTCGGACTCAACAGATTCACCCCCCCAACACACTTAGGTCCGAAAAGCGTTCCTGCTTCCAAGGAAGCTGGAACACCACCAACCGCTGCCACCTAGGCATGGTCGTCAGGTCGCTGGCGATCCCGAGTCGCGCTGTGCGTTTAACCCCTGTGAAATAATCGAGAACAAGGTGTAGCATAGCATGAGCGTTCCTCCGCGTAACCCAGAGCTGCGCGGGGAGAGCAGAGCCGCAGAGCAGTCAAGCAGCAACCAACAGAACCAACAGTAGAGTCACCTCATCGTGCCGTGCCATTAGCGGATCCATAAAGGGGACAAGCAGCAGGCCCCAAAGAGTGAGTCCGTGCAGAGTGCGACGGCAGTAGCTTGGAGAGAAAACCTACCACCCACCACCATTTCAGCGACGGGTACATATAGAGAAAAGAGGTGAAGAAGCAGCAGTTGAGCCACGTAGAGACTGATCAAGCGTTGACTCCCACACGACTCACCAGACCTCTCCTTGAACTCTCGTTTTTTTTTTAGGCTCTTAGCTTGAGATTCCGCTTCGTGAATCCAAATTAATGCTCTCCTTAGGTTGAATACTCCGCTCATAACGCACTGTCATCCTTCATCTTCCATCAAAGCGAGTTTAAAGCATGTCGTTCGCTACGTTGTCCAGTTGGGATGTCCACCAAAGCGCATCTTTCCCATTCGCCATGACCCGCTGCCCGCATGTTCCTTCAGCCGAGCTTCCATCCGAGCCCACTTACGCGTCGCTGAAGCTCCATCCGCTGCTGTCTCCGTCACAGGAGCATGTCGTCCGTCAGTTCTCAGCCCTCTCCATGCAATTACACGAGCAGCACCAGCAGCATCAGCACTGCCACCGCCATTCTGCAAGCGAGCCGCAGCCGCAGAAGGAGCGGGAAGCCGTGCACTCTCTTCCCTCCCTAAAGCAAGATGCTTTTCGGAGAATTTCATGCGTGGAAAGCGAACAATTTATGGCTCGTCTTAACCTAGAAGATTCGGCTAATGCGGTTAACGAGGCAATTCCTGAGGCACCTCAAAACTCGGCTGATGGGGTTGAAGAGGCATTGCCTGCAGTATCTCCCGCGTCGCCTGGCGTCGAACCGTTGGAACAACTGGGACACGGTAACGTCCCATTTGATTTGGCGAGAATTTCCCCTTGCTTTTCAGGTTCGTCCCTTCCCATCGGCGGTAGTTCCCCGGGAAGCGGGGGAAGCGCGCCTGTTTTCAGCAGCGGCATGCTTCCTTGGCTTCGGAATCCCAGCGAATTGGACCTGAACCTTCCTGCGTCACCGGCGGCCGACTCTGCAGCTACTCCGGCTCTTGCGCCGTCTTCTGCAGCCTTCCCTTCGTCGTTTCAAGTGCTCAATTCCAGCTTCTGGGATTCCAGCGCGAATTTCGGTTTTAATGGGGGCGCCGCGTCACCCCCTATTTCCGAGAATTCGTCGGAGTCGTCGCTGGTGGCGTGTGGCACTGAGAGCAGCAGTACGGACATGGATGACGAGGAGGATAATAACGAGGACGAGGATGAGGAGGGTGATGGAGAGGCAGACTCGGGATTTAAGTCGCTGAGCCTGAAGAAGAAAGTGTCGGCCATGGCCTCCCTTCCCTCACAGTAAGCTGCTTCATTTATTTCTTCTTTTTATGTTTTTTATTTTCTTTTCTCTCTTTTCACACGGTTTAAAGGTCTCCTCTTTCTCTTGTTTCCGAGTGATATGCGACTCTTAATCCAAGCAACTAATTAGCACTTGCGTATCTCCGCCCCCTTGTTTACCTGCAGGCGAAGCCTTTCGTCCCACTTTGGAGGCAAATCTCGCACCTTCTCGTCGCTCGCTGACGTGTCAGCCATCCAGACCATTCACGGCCTCGCGAAACCGCCACCAGGCCTCTGCCTCCGCCGAATGCGCCGTCGTTCGCGCCTCTCCCGTGCCTTTGCTCTCCGCCACAGCCCCTGCGCCATCCCCATCGCTGCGGCGCACCGCAGCATAGGCAAGCACCGCCCAGGTGCTGGCGCTGGCGCTGGCATTCGTGGAAGCAGTTTTGGACGGCTGGCGGCTCAGCAGGTTCAGTTCTCGCTGGCGCTGGCTGTGTCCATGGGAAGCGTGGGTTGAAAGGTGACGCGGATTGGTTGAGAGATTGTGCATGGAGCAGCTTCAGGGAGAGAATTGTGCAGAACGGCAACAAGATGGAGCTGTTTTGGGAGCACTACCACAGTTTTGTTTGGCTTCCCAAGATGCAGCACGTGGTTGTAAGAGGGAGTTCTGTGGATGATGATTTGAGATTCCATAGCATTCCTGCTGGCTGGTTCTTTGCGCTATACTTGGTATCGGATGTCCGTCCACACCACACCGACCCGTCACGCAGGAACTGAAACATCTATTCTGCTTTCTGCTATTCCCGGCGAAGAGCATCGAGTAGTGACATCATGAACGCGCAAGGCAATCTTCGCTGAGAGTTTGTCTGTCCGGTATGTTCGGAGATGGCAGCTGATTGTGGGATTGTCTGGAGCCATATTCTGTCAATAATGAGATCCAACGGCGGGCTTTTGTGTGCATTTACCGTAGATGCTGCTGCACCGAGATAGGTCAGGGATACCGTAGGTTGGCAAATTTTGGAGCAAGCTTGGGTCATGCCTCGTGTCCCTTGTTGGTATTGCCAGCCCCTCTTCTGGTGCTGCTCATACTGAGTGATGTCTCTTTGCTAGCTAGTGCTGTAGTTCTTCCTGCTGTTGGGTGTGAGTTTGACCAATAAGCAGTGGCCTTTTTTGGTACACCCTGATTTTGTGAATTCCAGATGTATGATACTTGTCAGGAGATTAGCATCTGTCTCTCAGATTGGATGAGGAGGATTGCCGGTTTATATTTCGAGTTCAATCAAGCAACCACACTAGATTGTGAGTTAACAGCATACGGTAAATCTCTTACGAGTTACAACGGGGTCCTTCTGGTGACCAGTTGTCAGAAGAATGAACGAGAATGAATGAACTATGAAAGAGTTGGGTACAAGTACTAACTGTTACGAGTGCAATGGAGTGAACGAGCGAGGATTGCACTATCGAGACAAGAATACAATGAGCGAAAGATTGAGCGAAGAATATATAGCGAAGCTACGGTGGTAACGGTAACGTGGGAAATTGGGGTGCGCGACGGGCCTGGTGCCGAGGTTTGGGAACTGTCAAGGCGGAGGTCCGGAGCGCGGGTTACCAACCGAACCGTGAGGTTGGGTCGCATTGTGAACAGTGGCGGGAATGGTGTCGAGGCGAATGTCGCGAGTGGTAACGGAATATTGTGAGGTGCTGTCAGTGTTGTACGCGCTGAGCAGGGACGCGAAGTAAGGAAAAGGAATTTTCCTTACACTACCCCCCCCTCAAGGAGGCCTCCCTTACGAGAGCGCGTGTATATCTCGGAAATTTCTGCTGCGCAGGTACTCGTTGAGGACGGGGTGGTTTTCGATTTTTTCCAGTGGAACCCAGTTGTCCTCGGTGGGCGTGCGGTCTCTCCAGCGGATTAGAAATTCGGCCCTTCGGGCTCCTCGTGGGTCACGAACTCGGTGGCTCAGAATCTTTTCGGGCGTGATGACTGGCTCGGTCGGTGGTCGTGTCATGCTGGCTGGGCGATGTCGGGCCAGTTGGCTGGTGGATGGAATGTAGGGGCGAAGCAGGCTGACGTGGAAGGAGGGGCTGACGTACCAGTCAGCGGGGAGGAGGAGGTGGGCGGTGACCGGTGTGATCATGTGGCTGATGCGAAATGACCCGCAATATCGGGGGCGGAGTTTCGGAGTTATGGGCAGGCGGAGGTTTTGGGTGTCGAGTAGAACTAAGTCGTCGGTTGGTAAGTGACGGGTCTGCGGTGGCGGTCGGCGTTGCGCTTAGCGATAATGTTGGCCTTTTTAATTGCGTCTGCTGCCCTGGTCCGTGCTTCCTGTAGGACTTCTGCGAATTGTTGCGCTCGTGGCACCGGGTTGTCGGGATTCGGGGTCATGGGTACTGTAGGGTCTTGTCCGTAGTTCAGGTAAAATGGTGACTGTTGGGTCGTGGCGGATGGCGAGTTGTTGTACGCGAATTCGATTAGTGGCAGTTGCTGTTCCCAAGTGGTGGGGTCGTCGCACGTGGCTCGGATTAACTGTTCCATGGTCTGATTTGTCCGTTCTGTCTGTCCGTCGGTTTCGGGGTGGTACGAAAAACTGAACTGCAGCCTCGTGCCGAACTGCTGCCACAGGTTCCGCCAGAAATTGCTGGTAAACTTCGTATCGTGGTCGCTGATGATCGCTGCTGGTATCCCGTGTAATCGAACAATGGTTGCGATGAAGAGGCGGGCCGTTTCCTCGGCTGTGATTGATTTCTTGCAGGCTGCGAAGTGTGCCATTTCTGTCAATCGATCGACGACGACCAGGATCGCGTCATTCCCACTTGCACCCGCCGGTAACCCCGTGACGAAGTCTATCGTCACCTGCTGCCAAGCACGCTCTGGGGGTGGTATCGGCTGCAATTGTCCTGCCGACCGCTTCCGCGATGATTTCATGACTTGTCAGGTGGGACACGATGCCACGTGTCGTTGCACGTCGGTCAACATTTCGGGCCAGTAGTAGTACTGCTGCAACTGCTGCCGTGTTTTCTCTACTCCGAAGTGCCCTGAGGTAACTCCGTCGTGTGCCTCTTGTAATAGTAATTCCCGTAGAAGTGTGTAGCCCGGTACCCAAATGCGATCAGTGCCGGCTTTTACGTAATAGACTCCCCTTGCTGATGCAAACTGCTGCGAATTTCCGCCTGTAAAAAATGGGTCAGTCTAATAACCGTGGGTAAATAGGCCTGTTAACAGTGGGCTGGTCTGGGCGAGTAGTATGGCGTGAACTTGGGCTGTGGGCCGGGTTAATGCATTGGCGATGTTCGATGCCCCTTTTTTGTAGGTGACCGTGTAGTGAAAACTCGACTCGAGGTAATCGAGCCAACGGATTTGTCGTGGGTTGAGGTGGGGTTGCGCGCGGAGGTACTGTAGAGATTTGTGACCTGTCCGTACTGTCACGTCGGCACCGGTCAAGTAACAGCGCCACACTTTGAACGCATGTACGATCGCAAGCATTTCACGATCAAGTATCGGGTAATTCTTCTCGGGCGGATGCAACTTTCGTGATTCGTATGCGATGGGCTGTAACCCGTTGCCGAAGTCCTGTAGCAGTACGGCTCCAATAGCGATGTCGCTTGCGTCGGTAACCACTTCGAATGGGCGGTGTGGGTCGGCGGTGTGCGCAGTACGGGCGGTGAACAGAGAACATTTTTCAGGGTAGAGAAGGCAGCATGCTCTTTCTCCCCCCACGTAAAGGTGACCCCCTTCCACAGTAAATCCGTGAGCGGGGCAGTTAAGCGTGCCATGTCGGGGACGAACCGGCGCACGTAATTAACGAACCCTAAAAAACTCTGCAGCTCCGTGATGTTCGTCGGGGGGTGCCACGCTTTTACCGTGTCCAGTTTTTTCGGGTCGATTTCTACTCCAGCCTCCGAAATAACGTGCCCCAAAAACTCTAGCCTATCCTGAAAAAACTCGCACTTGGAACCCTTGGTCAGTAGTCTGTGTTTGTCTAAAACTGTAAATACTGCTTCTAAATCGGCTAAGTGCTGCTGTTTATCCCGACTGTAGACTAGGATGTCGTCGAGGTAGATGTGTTAGAATAAGTGACGAGAATGGATCACTAGGAAAGGGGGAGGGGTACAAGTAGAATGTCGAGAGAATTTCTGTACCCCCTAAGGCTAAACCCACTATAGCCTAGACAGCTGTAAACACATAACTAAGCCTAGATATAACTAAGCATACCATAGGTTTGACACACCCCCATAGGCGAAGTGGGGGATAGCCAGAACAAGCAATGGTCACAAGACCAGTCAAGAGAAGAAGCAAAGCAAAGCAAGCTCAGGGTGGATCACAAAGTCACCACACAGTCCGAGCATAAGCAAAGGGTCATAAGGCCAGTTCACATGCAGAGTTATATAAAGTGAACAAACAATACAGTGATCATACCCTAACAAGTGCAAGCATGCAGGTATATAGATAGATCACAGTACAGGCAGAGTCAGGCAGTAAGTAAGTGAGGCAACGTAGGCACAAGGCCTAACACAGTAACAAAGCGCTGATGGTCACCAGGCGGAAGTGCCTTGGTGAAGACATCAGCAGTGTTGGCCCGAGTGGCCACGTACGCTAGACGAAGCTGACCACGCTGCTGCAACTCTCGAGCAAGGAAGTATCGCAGAGCGATGTGCTTCGTTCTGTGCTCCAGTCTGTGCTCCTGACACAAGGCTATCATGGCCTTGTTGTCTACGTACAGGACTGGAGGCGAACGAGGCTGCTCTCCCAAGTCGGTCAGCAAGTAGGTGAGCCGGCGTAGCTCCTGAGCAGCCATGGCTCCGGCGTAGATCTCAGCCTCACAGCTGGAGCTGAGAACTGAAGACGAGCGGGTAGACCGCCAAGAAACCGAGCCAGACCCAAGGCTGAAGGTGTAACCCTGCGAGGACCGCTGCGTAGCTGAGTCGTCAACCCAGGAGGCGTCTGCGTGACCAGTGAGGACAACGGGACCGCGTCCTCCAAGCACAAGCCCCATGCCCGACGTACTGCACAGGTAACGCAGTACCCTCTTCGCAGCATCCCAGTGCACATTTCAGTGCCTACCGGGAGCCACGTAGCAAGCCAGAAGGTTGAGAGGGTACGTGAGGTCAGGTCGTGTGCAAGTCATCAGGTACATGAGGCAACCCACAAGCTCTGGGTACGGACCACTCGGCTCTACGGACTCGTCCGAAGGTGGAGCTGAGAGCGAGTGGCTGGTAGACAGAGGAGTGAGCTGTGGCGAGGAGTACTGGAAGCCGAAGCGCTGAAGGACCTGGTGCACCATGTGTGACTGAGTCAGTGTGATGGTGCGCCGTGCTCTGTCCCGGGTGATCTGCAGGCCAAGGTAGCTGCGCAGTTCACCCAGGTCAGTGCAGGTATGTCTCTTCTGCAGCTCGGACTTCACTAGGGTCAGTGCCTCAGTGTCACCCGTGGCAAAGACGAGGTCGTCGACGTACACTAGGACGTAGAAGGGCGGCAGCGAGGTGTCGGTGCGTAGAAACAGCGACGGGTCTGCTGTA